TAAACTGTTTTGCATTGGATTTCTTACCAGTCCCACCGAAACCAAAGCCATTCTTGTCTGTACCTAAATCCAAGGTAGCCTGAAAATACATCAGTCGTTAGAGTCAATCTCTCCACCGATAGAATTAGATATTACTGTATGCGATTTAATACTCACCTGAGACATAGACCAGCCAACACGGCACAAACCTTCGTCGGTTACCGTAGCTTCAAAAAAGAACTTCTTATTCCCCTGAACTCCTTTATTGGCCCGACAACCATGCCATTCCTTTTGTTCTCGGCTTTGACATCTTAGACCATCTGGAGTTACAGCCAATGCTGTGCCTCTATCGAATAAACTTAGAGACCAATGTTTTGCTACAAATAATTAACAAATAAATGTTTTGGTAGATGTCGTTGATGTGAAAAACTACATACAAGGTTGCGAGTGTGATGTCGACGAAGCAGTTGCTTTCCCAGATTCAAAGTCTTTCAGAGTTTCCCATACTATTTGTAAAACAGGTAAACAAAAGGCACCAGTCTTTCCACTACCAGTTTCTGCAGCCATTAACACGTCGCCACCACCCAGAATCAAAGGTATCGCTTCGGCTTGCACGTCTGTTGGCAATCTATAATTTAAATGACCAGACAAATTAAATACATACCCTATCTATATTTTGATATAATTGTTTTATAATATTCAGAGCAATACTTACGTCCATTCCATTTCGTCAACTGCCGTTGCAATTTCAGTCACAACACCCATTTCTGAAACAACAACAATGCATAGGAGACTTTGACAAGCAGGTATATATTATTGAAAACACGTAACACTTAGTTTCTGGAATGCTGCACCCTCGAATGTTGCCATTATTAGGAAACGATAAGGTCTTTCCCGTGGTCAGAATAATATCAATGATAATAAATAAATAAATTGTGCCGAGGATTTTTAAAACAATAACTCTGCGACAGGCATTGAAACACCATCGTGACGTTGACGTCAAACGGACGGGCTAGAAAACAACGTTACGCGCGTCAGCGTTACAAAAAAATTAAATTGTTAGATATTCTGTCCAAAAATATGATGTCGATGTGCGCAAGTGTTCAAAGTACACCTCAAAATTATCGAAGTCAACCATCAATAGCAGAATATTAGAAAAAAGAATTAATTATCAAGATACCGTGCACGAAGATTTCAGCATGCCTATTGCGCCATCTAGCGTTACGGATTTTTGAGTAAATTTCCCTATATCGCAATGAGTAAGACAAGGACAGAGCCAGTGTGAGACAAGGATAGACTCGTGCCACCAACTTTTTAGCCGCGCTTCGAATTCCCTGGTACGAGGTAGGGACACATGAAGAGATGGAGGTATCCGACAAGGACAAACTTATGCGTTTTTCGGCGCGAGAGAGAGACGCAGATAGAGCTCCTCGGCAGACCCGTGAAATCGACAGATTATTTGTTAATAACTCTCTTTTCATAAACAATCGGTGAATATAAACTAACGTGGAATATAGAGTGAACATTCAGCTACTTTCCCATATAGTTTTTAATCGAATTATGTGTATAATTAACTAGTTATTAACAATTATTCAGACCCGTGTCACGGAATAACCTCAAATAATTTGACAGTTACACAGTATATAATTAATAACTAACTTTCGAGGCATAATTTATGAACTTTTATGATTGAAGAATCTAGATCGAAGTCTTGGCTACAATTTTAGTACAGTTTTGTGCATATTTAAATAATAATTAGTTAGTTATTAACCATTTTTAGAGGAATTGCGCATCAGATAGCGAAAGTATCGGGAGCCGTAAGAAACAAAGTTAGTGGCACGTTTCAAATATAGCTGTCCTTGTCACACTATCGTCACCTCTTTGTCTTACACATTGTAGGCATTCTGGAAATAGATATCCTGATGAAAAATTGTTACTAATTAATTATCGAGGCATAATATATAAACATTTGCAATCGAAGAATGTAGCGCAGACCTTTAGCAACTTTCACGTATAGTTTATAGTCTGATTATTACACAACTTGGAAAGTTATTAACAATTTTCCAGGACAAAGTTTAAAATATAATCGCGACAATTGCGAGAGTTACATATTGTATGATTAATATCTAACTTTCAAGGTGTAATTTATGGGCTTTCAAGATTAAAGAATCTAGATCGAAGTCTTAGCTACAATTTGAGTATGGTTTTGTGCATATTTGATTTCTAATTAGTTGGTTATTAACGATTTTTAGAGGCATGACGTATCGGATATTCGAAAGTGTCAGGAACCGTAACAAACAAAGTTAGTGGCACGATTCACGCTTTTGCTGTTTTTGTCGCACTATCGGTATCGCCTTGTCTTACACCCAGCGAGCATTGGTGAAACAGACATCCTGATGAAAAATGGTTAATAACCAAATAACAAAGAATAATTTATAAACATTTGCAATCGAAGAATGTAGCGCAGACCTTTAGCAACTTTCAGGTATAGTTTATAGTCCGATTATTACACTATTTTTAAAGTTATTAACAATTCTCTACGACAACGTCTCAAACATAACTTCGACAATTGCGACAGGTGCACAATAAATAATTAATATTCATACATTCGGGGCACAATTTCTGCACTTTTATGATTGAAGAATATAGAATGAGGACTTAGCTACATTTCTGGTGCCTTCTTGTGCTTATCTGATTGTTAATTAAATAGTACTTTACAATTTTTCAACAAGATATCCATTTCCCTAATGCCTACAATGTGTAAGACAAAGAGGTGCCGACTGTGCGACAAGGAGAGCAATAGCTTGAAACGTACCACTAACTTTGTTTGTTACGGCTCCTGACACTTTCGAATATCCGATGCGTCATGCCTCTAAAAATCGTTAATAACCAACTAATTAGAAATCAAATATGCACAAAACCATACTCAAATTGTAGCTAAGACTTCGATCTAGATTCTTTAATCTTGAAAGCCCATAAATTACACCTTGAAAGTTAGATATTAATCATACAATATGTAACTCTCGCAATTGTCGCGATTATATTTTAAACTTTGTCCTGGAAAATTGTTAATAACTTTCCAAGTTGTGTAATAATCAGACTATAAACTATACGTGAAAGTTGCTAAAGGTCTGCGCTACATTCTTCGATTGCAAATGTTTATATATTATGCCTCGATAATTAATTAGTAACAATTTTTCATCAGGATATCTATTTCCAGAATGCCTACAATGTGTAAGACAAAGAGGTGACGATAGTGTGACAAGGACAGCTATATTTGAAACGTGCCACTAACTTTGTTTCTTACGGCTCCCGATACTTTCGCTATCTGATGCGCAATTCCTCTAAAAATGGTTAATAACTAACTAATTATTATTTAAATATGCACAAAACTGTACTAAAATTGTAGCCAAGACTTCGATCTAGATTCTTCAATCATAAAAGTTCATAAATTATGCCTCGAAAGTTAGTTATTAATTATATACTGTGTAACTGTCAAATTATTTGAGGTTATTCCGTGACACGGGTCTGAATAATTGTTAATAACTAGTTAATTATACACATAATTCGATTAAAAACTATATGGGAAAGTAGCTGAATGTTCACTCTATATTCCACGTTAGTTTATATTCACCGATTGTTTATGAAAAGAGAGTTATTAACAAATAATCTGTCGATTTCACGGGTCTGCCGAGGAGCTCTATCTGCGTCTCTCTCTCGCGCCGAAAAACGCATAAGTTTGTCCTTGTCGGATACCTCCATCTCTTCATGTGTCCCTACCTCGTACCAGGGAATTCGAAGCGCGGCTAAAAAGTTGGTGGCACGAGTCTGTCCTTGTCTCACACTGGCTCTGTCCTTGTCTTACTCATTGCGATATAGGGAAATTTACACAAAAATCCGTAACGCTAGATGGCGCAATAGGCATGCTGAAATCTTCGTGCACGGTATCTTGATAATTAATTCTTTTTTCTAATATTCTGCTATTGATGGTTGACTTCGATAATTTTTGTGTGCACTTTTAACACTTGCGCACATCGACATCATATTTTTGGACGCTGACGCGTGTAACGTTGTCTTTTAGCCCATCCGTTTGACGTCAATGTCACGATAGTGTTTCTATGCCTGTCGAAGAGCTATTGTTTTAAAAATTGTGACCAGTTTTATTTCTAACGATATGTGATGTACATTTGATACACAGAATTCTGATGGCCACTTTAAGCTTGGAGATACTAATTTTGTGTTAACTGTTTTCAAGATATTTAAGTTCTTTTATTTTTTAATTTTACAGTCCCATCTCTAAAATTGATGCTACTGCAAGGCGGCACTGGAGCGCTGCTGTTTTCTGAATCCTTGCAGAGAGTGAAGGAATTTCCTCAATTGCATCATATGCACACGCTAACCTGTGTTAACGATCCTTAGAAAAATTCCCGGCACAATTTATTTATTTATTGTCATTGATATTATTCTGTCTGCGGGGAAGACCTTATCGTTTCCTAATAATGGCAGCATTCGAGGGTAAATATTCTTATCATGGTTTCGGAAACTAAGTGTTACGTGTTTTCAATAATATATACCTGCTTGTCAAAGTCTCCTATGCATTGTTGTTGTTTCAGAAATGGGTGTTCTGACTGAAATTGCAACGGCAGTTGACGAAATGGAATGGACGTAAGTATTGCTCTGAATATTATAAAACAATTATATCAAAATATAGATAGGGTATGTATTTAATTTGTCTGGTCATTTAAATTATAGATTGCCAACAGACGTGCAAGCCGAAGCGATACCTTTGATTCTGGGTGGTGGCGACGTGTTAATGGCTGCAGAAACTGGTAGTGGAAAGACTGGTGCCTTTTGTTTACCTGTTTTACAAATAGTATGGGAAACTCTGAAAGACTTTGAATCTGGGAAAGCAACTGCTTCGTCGACATCACACTCGCAACCTTGTATGTAGTTTTTCACATCAACGACATCTACCAAAACATTTATTTGTTAATTATTTGTAGCAAAACATTGGTCTCTAAGTTTATTCGATAGAGGCACAGCATTGGCTGTAACTCCAGATGGTCTAAGATGTCAAAGCCGAGAACAAAAGGAATGGCATGGTTGTCGGGCCAATAAAGGAGTTCAGGGGAATAAGAAGTTCTTTTTTGAAGCTACGGTAACCGACGAAGGTTTGTGCCGTGTTGGCTGGTCTATGTCTCAGGTGAGTATTAAATCGCATACAGTAATATCTAATTCTATCGGTGGAGAGATTGACTCTAA